TTGAACTAAGASTTGCATGGAGGGAAATTGCTGCCTCACGGGGACTTACACTCAACTCTATCATTGTTATGAACGAAACAGAAATAACAACATTTCTGCATACTTTATTGCACAACACCGAAAATTAAATAAAATAGGTTCAAATYAAAACAGTTTTTAATATTCTAAATTTTATATTATTTTCATTATGTAGTAACTTAGGAGAGAAGTAATCAGGTAAAGTAAAAATTCGGCATAAGGCTATTGCCTTATTTTATTTTATTTTTTTATTAAAACACCATTAGATAATTATAAATCCCTATCATTGTTTTGTTTGGGTTTAGGTTTGAAATAAAGTAATCTTTTAGACTACTTTCCAATTTTATTGTGTAACGAAATGGATCACAAATGAACTTTTGGGAAAATATAAAAGCAATGTCTGACTATGTTGGAAGAAATACTCGCAGGAATTAAAATTGAGTTTCAGATTGGAATAAGTAATTTCAAGGTCTAAACTTTCGAAAAAGAGATTTCAAATTCCACAAAAAATCTTAATTTAATCAACGCAAAAATACCTATTATGCCGAATGAAATGAAACATTTAAATTTATATAGATACAAAATGAACGATAAGGTCATATTGGAAACGTAGAATTGAATTCTGAACAAAAAACATGCAATTTTACAAAATTTTGAAAAATCCCTCTAGTATTTTTTGTGTTAATACTGGATTTTGCACGTTGGTAAATAGTTTTTTGTTCATTCAATTGATGCACTTTTATTATACGGTGTAGCAACAAATTATGTAATTTTCATATACAGGCTGTTTCAGAACTTGCGCCTCAGAGAAAAATGCCAAGTAAAATAAGATACCAGGAATAAAGAAAAAATTCTACCTAGAAAAATTTCGATATTATGGGGGTTTGAATTTTGCACTTTGACTCTATTTATTTCTGTTGGAAAGATAATTTTGCATTTTATTGGCACAAGCGATTACAAAAGGAAACAAGGAAGCTGTATCCTGAATTGTAACTGTTTAATGTAATTTGCAGCTTTTATTAGAAAAGTTTTTGTACATTTACTAAATAACTATGAAAAAACATTTATATAAGATCAACAGTAACATAAAATAGACATATAAAGAAAGATATGTCAAATTTTTTGTCAGATAGATTTTTTCAATGTTCCTGGTATCTTATCTTAGATGAAATTTTTCTCTGAGACACTAGTTATGAAACACTCTGTACATACCTACGTACATGATCACAACTTTGATATTTTTTAAATGTGAGATTCAAAATGTTTTATTTTATCTTTTTCTGCATTTATTTCTTTCTTTCTCCTTTTAAATATAATGTAATTTCGTTACCTAAACCCTTCAGTCTTGAAAATATTTTTCAACAGTTCGCAAAAGCGGTTGGCCGCGGAAAGATGCGGTTTTCTTTTAAGCTAAACTTCAATTGAAATTAATGAAAATAAATGCAAAACAAATTAGCCAAATACCTTAAAGAGTTTTGAGTTTCTATGCATTGAAATGTTTGAACTATTTTGCCATCTAAATTGAGGCAAATTAAAGAGTTTTATCTTTGACTTGCAGTGCGCAATACAAGTTTTAGTGAGTTTTTTTAAATTTTGTGATATAAATTTGTCAAATTGACATGATTTTTTTCAAGGTCAAAAAGCCGCTGTCAGTGTCAAAAACATATAATGGCAGTACCTCTGTTTATGACAGCATCTAGTGCCTTAGTGCTATTCAGTTCTCGCGGAATGACAGAGAAATTAGAGAAGTCTTTTCGGTGTAAACCCAATACAAAATGTATGAAACAATGAAACATTAAAGGTAGGCAAACAGTTTTTTTGTGAATCATAAATTGCTTGTCAAAGCACTATCAGAGCAACATAAGATAACTTGGATTGCAAATGCAAATCGTAATTAAAATTTGAATCAAAACGTAAATGAAATTTGTTTTTTGGGTTGCATCGCCAGATCGTCAGGCTCATTATCTTATCTGAATCGCCCTGTAGATATTTTCTATTAAGTTCGTTTTTGTTTTTATGGTTCCGGTTAAGAGAAATTTTCCTTTAATTAAAGTATCTATAATCACTAATAAATAATTCAAATTCCATTAACTACTAAAAAAATTATTAAAAACATAGAATTTGAAATATCATTTGCTTATCCCGTTTACAATTCATGTTTATGTATAAGTGCGATTAAATCCTTAATGTCGCCATAAAACAACCAAATTAATTAAATTAAAGAACTCACGTAGTTTGGCCCAAGTGTGATGGGAAATTAATTTTATAACTTATTTATCTTATTTATTACAACTAATCCGCTTTATCTACCTGCATAATTATCTATTAAAACCAGTTTGTAGTCTTTTGATATAAATCATAACGGAGGCACTCTTGAAGTGTTCTACCATTTGGAATTAATCTCTCATAAAAATAAATCAATGCAATTTTAATCTCCTGTCACAGGTTACTCATGTCAGATTATAGAAAATCCCGCAGAAAATTCTTCACCGGAACGAAATGGGGCAGTGTCACAGAAGTTCCAAAAGAGGCTCACCTTGAATTTTTGTAGCCAATTAGGTTACAAATACTCCAACTAAACACCGAACCGGATTGTGTGGGCTTCATCAGCCATTCAGGCAGATTTTTACTACACTCCACTTCAATTTCGTTACTATTAATCATTAATTCAAACCCCTTCTCGAGTGTTCAATTTTGACCTTTTTCATTTAATTTAACCACATACTCCATTGCAATGGAGTGATTCCAGTAGTACAAAAGACTCGAATTACAATGAGCTGAAAATGCAAACCAATGGTGACAACATGTTTATAGATAACTTGTGACAAAGTGCGAAATTGTAGGAGTTGGAATTTCGTGCTGGGTGGTTGCACAACCATCCTGAAAATTATCGATTGGATGGATTAATGAGAAAACGCACGAAAGAGCAAAAATTGATTACAAGGTCTCTTTTTTAATTGAAATTTTTGCAAATGATAACAAGCTGATTATTTAGCTTGCGTGTAAGTACTATAATACAGTTTTACCTCCCAGGAAAATACGATATGTGCGAGAAAAAGCAATATGTCCTTTTACGATCGCTTCATTGTCTTTATTTGCGACCAGATACCAAAAAAACATGAGCAAAACTTGGCAGAAACACAATTCATGACAGTTTTTAAGAGGATACAGATTTAGTTTAAAAGAGAAGAGCGTTGCTTGAGAAAAAAGTCGTTCCAGATGTAGGTATGTAATAAAGTAATGTCTGTGTTAAATGTCAAAAGTGGTGGTGCCAAGTATTGACAGGTTTGTGTAACGTGTAATTTTAAGCATTTTATTTACATCGCATGGGCGGGAATTCTTTTATGGGTGGGATACAAACTGCAATTACAAGTTGGGAATGAGATGTTCTAGAAAGAACTCAAAGAATAATTGGGCAATAATAAAAAAACAAACGGTAATTGACGATATTTCAAAAAAAGAAAAATCAAACGTGTATTTAAGACAGTAACTCTGTCTCTGTTATAAACTTTTAGTTTTTAATAGATACCTAACAGAATGAAGGAGAAATAAAGATCTGTTTTTTCAATTTTGTATAATATTGTATTCAACTATCCCTACTAAAATCTCCATCTGTTTCAGTTTCAGATTTTTACGAAACCTGGGCGAAATCGGAGATTTTAGGAGTGGTAGATTTTAGTTAACTAAACTCCTTTATTATTAAGTAAAAAGTTTCTAACAAAGTATGATTTACTTTCTTTAATCAAATTTAATAAATAATAAAATGTAAACAAAATATAGGTAATAACGAAATAACTGTTGAAACTCTAGTAACTTAATATTTTAAAAAGAAATTCTTGCATTTCAGAGTTAAGCCAATAATAATTATCCATTTCTGGTTTTCTAATTATGTATATGGCAACTATAATTAGTCGTAGATGACATTAATAAACCATTTGCAATTAGATTTACATGTCGCCACTAATTAAACCATATATATTATCCGGTTTTAAAATTGAAGAATTGATTCATCCCCAAATACAGGGTGATTCAGCTTAAATGACCCCTCTTGGCAGACAACACATGATACATTATGCACTTATTCCTTGATTCAAAATTAAATTTTCAAAATATCGAGAATAAAAGAACGATATTTTTCGATTCATGAAACTTTCAAAATTCGAAAATGAATCAAGGAATAATTGCTTTGTGTATTATAGGTTACATGCCAAGAGGGGTATAATGCGTCATTTAAGCCTGTATGTATAACAGTTCACAATCAAGAACATTATACAGTGGTGAGAAATTAGAATTCAAACAAAAATATAACAAAAAAAAAAGATTTCGATAAATACAAAACCCCACCAAAGCAAATAAAAATAAATCCTCCCTCTTCACATTAAAATCTTCCTTTTTTTCATCCCCAACGATTAATCCCTCACGCGTGTTTAATCAAGAACTCCGACACTTTGCTACGTGGTTCCAGCTTGTTAAATTAATATTCTTACTATCCATAGAAGAATGCGAAAAAAGCCTTAGAAATTTAATTAAGGAAGCCATTCCGGGGTCAGTGATTCGCAATACTATACACAAACTCATCTTATAATTTGTTAAACAAATAAACACCTACTATATTCGCATATTGAGATTAGTAAACGGAATTCTTCAGGGTCTAAAAGTAGAAGTTTAAATTAGGATCAATTTCGTTYATAGTTTGCAAGTATAAATTATATTTTTTCGAAAATAAAATAAATAAACATCCCCGGAAATTTTCATTGAGAATAATTTAAGAATTAAGAGGGTGCTAAGCCATGACAATGTACTCAAAGAACTGGTTTTATTAAAAGAAAAAAATCGTGTCTGTTAATCAAAGTCATAAGTGATGTCATTGTGCGACAAGCATCAATTATGTACTAGACTGTACATTTTAGAATTATTTAAATTACTGTTTATTTTTTATTTTTTTGCAAAATAAACGTTTCAAATAAAATTCATAGACGAACCTTCACATCATACTGCTGTCGTAATCCTCCACTTTTATGCGAAGAAATCCGTGAAGCACATGATGGTAAGAAAACGCGTATACAGGGGGTGGGTCAAACACGAAAAGAACAATTCATTCACAAATTTTACAACACCCTATCGAACGGCACGTGTAAATTATAACATTTTATCACTGAAGGTGTAGCTGTTTATGGTTGGCTGGARGTTTCCRGGGTCCCAGCACTCGATCTTGATYGGTTTTACACGGATTTGAGAAAATTTCTCGATGGAAGACAAAGAGTAGACTACACGAACCGCACTGCTAATGTGGGCAACTGCTGACAAAAACAAATGTTGATGTTACAAGAACCCAATCAGATTCTGCGGGACAGAGTGAGATGGGCTATYGCCCATGCGCAGAGAGGATGAGCGTCGTTGGGCTATCGGTTGGCATCAGGGTGGAGGCGGCATCTGGCGCAAATGGTATGTAATACATAGAGAATACTTTTAAATAAACTGTTCGGTAAATTCATATTTCAAATTTGTTTCTACAGTGATGGAAAATTTTACACTTTTGAAAGAATATGAAACAACACTTTATACCGAAAAATGGAAAAAAGTAAATAATATTTATTCTGTAATTAAAAATAAAATAAAATTTACATATTATACTCAAAAACACAAAGACTACACATATTATATTAACTTTTTTTCTGCCTATTAACAATAACACAATGCTGGAAGCGCTGAATGTCGGATTTCTTCTTACTATAACTCTTTCTTCGGCGGCTGTTGTAACTCTTGTGCGACCTCCTCCATGTGTGTAAACGGGTGAATTACATACTTCTATTCCAAATGTAACTTATTTCTGGGTAAGCTTAAGAGAGAGTGGGCGAATTGTGCCTATSTAATAAGGAAATTTTGCTGTAACTATGAAAGTTTGAAAGATTTTGAAAGAAACTATTGATAGTTTTATAGAGGGTGCGCCAGAACTCGCGCCCCAGAGAAAAATGTCAAGTGCCAGCGGCAATAGATCGCCAAAAAGTGCAGCCGAAGAAGTAATTTTTGCTTGCATAAGAAAGTTATTCGACTCTTAAATCCACCAATCCCAGAAGCGCACTTCAATGTGTGATTGAAAAATTATATCCGTTGCTAGGTTACAAAAATAATACCAGTTTGCCCACAACTTTACAAAATAGCTGGTCTACTGTAATTTTCACATTTAATTTATTAATTTTCTGTCAACTGTCATGTGAGTGACTTAATCTGCTAGTTTTCAGTATTTTTCTCGAATATTTCTCGGTGAAGAGGTTGTACACAAGTATAATGAGACAGAATCGTTAATTATTATCAACAATTATCAAAAATTATTTTGAAAACTCGATTRCCAAACATTCTGGTCCGATGAACCGACTTCTCTAAAACTTCTTCACAGGTGTTGCTCCTTGTGAACTTTTTCTTCGATCTMATACGGATTAACAAGCCGATATTGAATTTTAGAGCTTGAAAACTAATGCATTATCCTTTTGAAATAAAGAAGCAATTGTGATCGCCGGGCACAGACGCTAGACCAACCCCCTATTCTTTCAAGGTGACACCACGGTTATCGCTGTTCCCAGACGTTAGTGAGACTGAGAGACCAGAAAGACATGAAGTACTCAAGTTTCTTTATTTACTTTAATGCAAAATTAACAGAAAAATGTTCTTTTTATAAGAAATTGTGCTTAAATAAAACAGGTTACTAATTTTAATATCAAAATTGTAGTTTTACTGTCGTATTTAGGCATTATTGCCCAGTAGAAATTCTAACCTCAAAATTTCAACAACAATTTATTGTTGTTTTCTTCCACTCACATGAGCTTACTATAACCCCTTGGCTGCTTTTTCATTAAAAAATCTAGAAGAATGTTGCAATGTTTGTATTTAGTACGAAAAATTAGCATTTTTGCTAATGTTTTAATTCCGAGGGCATTTCAGCAACGCTTTTTTGTGAATTTGTGGGCTGGTCTTCTGGGGAATCATGTGGTTTGTCAATAATATCAACTAATTTCAACATAACGTGACTCACTTTCTAAAAAGTACATTTTTCTGTTAATTTTGCATTAAAGTAAATAAAGAAACTTGCGTACTTCTTCATGTTTTTCTGGTCTCTCACTCTCACTTGCTTCTTTGTTTCATAAGGATAATGCTAGTGCATTACTAAAACTAGTGTTTTCAAGCTCTAAAATTCATTTATCGGTTTGTTAATCTGTATCAGATCGAAGAAAAAGTTGAGAAGGAACAATACCTGTGAAGAAGTTTTAGAGAAGTCGGTTCATCAGGAGTTTCCCGAATGTTTCAAAATAATTTTTGATAATTGTTGATAATAATTAACGATTCTGTCTCATTATACTCGTGTACAACCTCTTCAGCGAGAAAAATACTGGAAACTAACAGGTTACGTCACCCCCATCACGATAAATGTCAAACGCAAAATTACAGTAGACCAGCTATTTTTTAAAATTCTGGCCAAATTGGTATTATTTTCGTAACCTAGCAACCGATATAATTTTTCAATCACACTTTGAGGTGCCCTTCTGGAATTGGTGGATTTAAGAGTCTAATAACTTTCTTATGCAAGCAAAAGTTACTTCTTCGGCTGCACTTTTTGGCGACCTATTGCCCCCAGCATTTGACATTTTTCTCTGAGGCGCGATTTCTGGCGCATCTCTGTATTTTTTTCCAACACTAATACCTTATACTTGTCGAGAGCAGTAATCACTCAGGGAAGAAAAGACACTTTCCTTCAGTGTAATACATATAATTTTTTCTACGATTCAGCAAGAAAAACAAATCTCACAATTTCCCTTAATATCTCAGTTTTGCCATTAAATATCTAGCAGCATGTCTTTCCGTTTCTATGAGGGAGATAAAATTTTGACAGATAAAATTTTTTWAACATTTTTTTCGTGTTTCTGGTATCTGGCGCGAGTTCTGACACAGCCTGTATATGGTTTAATTTGAAATCACTAACAGGAATGGTACAGAATCATTTTTATTTAAAATGTTATATGCCATTATTAAAACTTTTGTAAATAAAATAATAATTTTCCCATTAAAATATGACGGTATATTTTTAGCAATGGATTTTAAAATATATTAAAACAGTATTTCTATTATTATTAAAATATAAAAACCTAATAAATTAATCGAAAATACGTAATATTTTTGTGACAAACAAAATTTATTTATATGACATAAAAGCACTATTTTAGTGTTGCCACGGACCTCGCCGCCGGCATTTGACATTTTTCTCTGGGGCGCGAGTTCTGGCGCATCCTGTATGTTAGATACAAACTTGCATTGCGTAACCGCAGGTGTAGGTAGAAATGCGCTACGAAGGTATATGAAGTAAGGAAGCCTATGGAAAATGCTGTATTTTAAAAAATAAAATTATAAAGCATTTTAAAACAAAATGTAAGTTAGGTTTTTAAAAACAACTTTTTTATTTAAAAAAATATAAAAAAATTACCTACTGTAGTACTGTAATTTTTAATGAGACTTTAAAAATGTAGAAATCTACCTGGACACGGACACTACTATAATGTGTAATCTAAGTGGCAGCATAAATAATTTTCCTTAAAAAAAAATAGGAAAAGTTACAGAAAGGTGCCCACGATTACCGACTACGCACAATAACCCCACTCTCCCTTAAATCATTTTGTCAATTTTTAAAATCACAAAAACTTAAAAAATGTTTTCCGTTTAAGCACTGAGTTCTCAAATTAATAGACTGAAAAAGTGAATTTGTTTCTGTAAGTAGGTATTAGAAAACTTTTTGCGTAATAATACGAAATAGAAAATTAAAATTGTATTTTAATTGCTGGTAAAATACCAAAAAAATTAAAACTTAACTTGTAGTAAATTCTGTTATATGTACTTGTGCTTATTGTTAACAAAAATGAGTTTACGTTGTTTTTAGTTGTCACCTGTTACAAACAAAATAATTGTTATTATTTTCTTGAGATTAAAAACTAAGACTGCAAAATGAAGTTTCAAACTATGGAACATTAATGTATGTGATTGTAACTATTCTAGATTTTCGATCAAGCATTTGATACGAGGTTCCATCTAATATGTAAACAATTTTCGATGTTAAAACTTCCGAAGAATTTCATAATACGAGTATAATCATAAACTCTATAGTTAAATCCAAAAAACTTCAGATCGAATATTATTGCATGGTGCTGAAATGTTTTAAATGTTTATTAATACTTTATCCCATAAATTTTAAAATATCAATTTATTAATAAGAAAAGCTCTTCTATTTCTCCGTATTTTTAATAATACATAATTTAATGTATTGTAATTATGTAATGTATTATAATTATAATATTGTAATGTATGTATTTTTTGATGTTTATCAAACATACTTAGGTAGTGTTAAGCGTCAAATTGTGCACAGTGGCGTATTATACCAGAAGCCTATAAGAATCCCAGGCTTGGAGCGCAAAAATTTTAAAGGGCGCAAAATTTTGTAAATAAATTCTTCTTCTTTAAAGAAATAATAAAATCGTTTTTTCGAAGCAAAATAAATTCACCGTCATATTTATTTTTTCTTGGAACAATGTTCGCCCACAAACTCCTAAAATCACAAGGGTTTCTCGAATTAGGTACACCCGGGGAAAAAACTATTCACCAGTCTAACTTTCTGCTCACACTGCGCTTTGTTGCAGTAGTGTTTCCGATTAACTAGTTGGGGAGTAGGTAATATGTCTGAAGACCCTTATTTAGGAAGTTGATCCGGACTCGAGGACACACGTTTCTTCAAAACGGTCTTTTTCTGAAAATTTCTTCAATGAGTATGGATTATGATTATAATAATTTGCAAAATGACACTAAGAAAATTTATAGAAAAATATGCCCATGTATTTCACTACCTTAACAAAATTTTTGTGATTTACTTTTAATTTTATTAACAAATAGCTAGTTTCTTCCGTCTTTTATATTTATTTTTATTACTTCTAAACAAAATGGTAAATTTAATGGCATAATAATAATACTAATGCTAACACTGCAAAAGAAAACATTTTTTGCTTCACCTGAAACCAGTAAGTCTGTAACTTTAAAAGTTCATTATTTTATTTTCACAATGGAAAGATAAATTTAATTTTTCTCTTGATTTTGAGCTTGTAATAACTAATGATACTATAGTCTACAAACAATAACATGTTTAATATAACTTTAATCGAATTATTATTTTTATGTTAACTTACCTTTAATTAAACAAAAATAATTGTTAAATTTTTCTATCACGTCACACTTTTTTGTTGCAGACGATTGTTTTCCTGCTTTCTGCACAAATGCCTCCGCTTTAAAATTAATTTAAATACAAATTGTTGCTGAATTATTGCAAAATTATTACCATTTAGGTCTAAATAAGTCTTAAAAACATTTCACTCGCATTTGAATATGTTAGTATATTACTGTTGGATTGTTATAAAGAAAACTGATCCAAAAAAGTTTAATAAAAAACAAGTACCTAAAATAACTCATTTTTAATTTGTTCTTTGGCGGTTTTTCTATTTTTGTTAATTACTTATTTCTTAAACGTAACATGGTGAACTTTTTTAAATAGTTTTTTTTGAAATCTAAAAGAAATTATAACTTTCAGCTAAGGTATAAAAATCGTGTAAACTAGTGTAATTTTTTCTCTTGCGTTTTAAATCCCATCATTCTATGATCCCATCACATTGGCGTTTTATTTTTTTGACAACGATGTCGCTTTAACAGATGAGTTAACGAAAGTTAAATAACAAAAATGTTTGTAAAAAAGATTCCTAGATTTTTCAGATTTTTACAAAATAATATTTCTGAAAATTATTTTTAAGTTATTAAATCAATTAAATAGACTCAAGATGTCAAATTAAAAAAAATAGAAGCATACATAGTTGAAAAAAATCAATTGCACCCAAGGGGTATCCAGGGTTTGTGGAGGGGCTCATCTTCAATTTTTCAAAATGTTGCCACACCGCGCAGTTAGAAAAAAAACTAAGGAAAAAAAAACAATAATACAAAGAAATTAATATATTTTTCCTTTATTTTCATTTATGTAATAAGTATATTTAATAATAGTGAAGTTTTTCTTTTGATTGTTTCGCCTTTTTAAAATTTTCGAATTATTTTTGTTATTGTTCTTTTTATAGTAATTTACTTTTTCATTAAATGTTTTCTTAAAAACTAGTTATTAGAATAACACATAACGATAAAAAATACTTACATTTGCTCATAAATATTTATGCATTCTTCTCTGAATGTTAAAAAAATTCTTATTGCAGTTGCTTGTGGATCCTATAAGATTATAAATGAATTAGAATTTTTATGGAGATACAACTTTTTTGTTACTACTTACACTTAAATCATATAGCTCAATAAGATGGGACACATCTCGTGCCCTATCATAGCAAATGCGGTTTTTATACGCAAGACGCCGTAAAGTGTTGTTGCTAATTTTTTGGGTCCTTATCAAATTAACAAACTCCTGTATCTAAAATACCAAATTTAAAACTTACAATAATTACTTCATCTTCTGACCCTCCGGCGGCGCCGGTGGTATTGGTTTGCGCATTATCGTTGTTGCTCTAATAAATAAACAAAAATGAAAATTATAACAAATTTAATATTGAAATTTGAATATCTACCTTGAAAGAGTGTATTTTTTAATATTATTGAATAATTGATTTTACTTACCTCAGACATGTCGAAAAATTTTTTCAAAACAATGTTTAAATTGTTTTAGATACCTACTTCCACTTGATTATTTATTGAAAATTATTTTCAAAATTATACTAAATTTTCTCTGTCACCTTGACAGAGAACAGTCAAGTCACTGGTCAATTGTCAATTATTCTGCAAAATATATGGTTATGTTATTGTTGTTCACATCGTATCATGTTTACAATTTTTAGGCGAAAGATACCTGAAAACATTTTCAGGTTTATCCTGAACCAAAACTTGAAGAAAAATTATACAATTAGCAGTTTTCCACCTAACATTTCTTCTTTAATTCCCATCAATGTTCAATATAACCTACAAACTGTCCGGTACAAAAGCAAGAAAAGTCAAAAACAGCCTCCAAAACCCACTGTATCGGACACAGAAACGGAAAAGGAGAACACCTTTGAAGACCAAGTCGTCGATAAAAATACGAAAATCATGCAAATCCACGTTAAATCCTTACGMATAGACGGAGTCTTAAAATCAGGCCTTGGTATCGCAAGAAATAAAATAGAAACGCTTTTTTATGAAAGTAAAATACGGGTTAACGGCCAAAAATTACTCAAGAAGAGTGAATCAGCTCAGGAAGGTGACGAAATAGACATCATCAAAGGGCCAAGCCCCACAAACCCCGATTTTCTAAATGTGGCAAGAATCGAGATTTTAGGAATCACAGAAAGTAATCCCGAGGACATCACTTTAAAAATTCGTCGATGCAAAAACTTAACTGTAGAGAACTATGACGATAAATAAGGTTTTGTTGTTACGTAATTGTAAATAAAACATTGTTTTTCCCTTAAGTAATTACTTTTATTAAAGTGACGTTACTCACATTTCTTAATAAATTATATTCTACAAAAATACTGGCATTAGTGCACTGCATAATTAATAAATTATTGCCTATTTACAACTATCCTATTTATTGGGAATTATAGATGAGCTTAAATCATTTACTAGGAAATTATAAACAAAATTAGCTTTTCCTCTGTTTGCTTGAGGTTTCGAGTTACGTATCGGGTCCCTAAGTAAGATATCACCAAACAAAGAAGCCAAAGTTTTAGCGTCGTATCCATTCTCATTTGAATATTTCAACAACTCTTTAAGGAACATGCAGATGTAGAGGAAAACATTTCTGTGAACGTCGGACATCTTCTGTTGAATAATCTACGAAAAAAATCATGAAAAATCATTAATTTGGTGTTTTTTCGACCTACTAGCCGGCAATTTTGAAAATTATTTGCTGCAGCAATACAGCTGTCATGTAGTTCAAAAGGTACAATGGGYTCTTTAGTATATGACAAGAAAAGCAATAAAGCTTCAGCGACTGCTTGCACAGTCCCAGCTAAAAATCAAAAAATTGAACACAAAAATAGGATAATAGTCAAAACATACGTAAAGGATCCACTGATCCATAATCCAACCAATCCCGAATCCTTATTATTTCCTCATGGAGGGCACATGATTCGAATAAATCTCGTGTTTTTAACCCATAACGATATAAATTGTCAACCAAATGCCATAATTCGCGAGGAATCGAGTAAAGAACCCGACTTTCCATGTTTTCGGCTTGTTTTCTCTGCTCCTCGCTCATTTGCAATAAAGGAACAGGTGCTCGACACAAAGTTGATAGGCTTGAGGTAAAACATGACCTTTGACATTCACCCGTGACTATGATAAACATGTCTTTGCCTCCCTTCAAATGCAAAACCAAAATATCATACACTTTATCCATCTCGCGTTCGAGATTAACTTCGAATTTTATGTCACATTTATCCCCTACAAAAAAATAATGCCAACCTCTTAAACAAACATGATCAGTACCAGTGTTATAATAACTTCCATTACAACACTGTTTCTAGTTTGAAATTATTACCGGGATCAATCGTCCCACAATACGGCGTAATCCTCAACCAATCCTTACAATAAGTCGCCTCATCCAACTTCTTAATAAACTCAAATTCCGCCGGGACTTGCCCCGTATTCGCTATGATAATTTCTCTCGATTGCGGTTCCCGAAACTTGACCAAATCGAACACAACTTCCGTCTGATCAACCATCACTTGTGGCAAAAATTCGTTTTCCAACTTATCCATTTTTTTCAACAACTCTTCATGGACGCGTCGGAACTTATTTTGGTCGATTACACTAATTTCGGATTTGAACAATGCACTGACTGGTTTATGGTCGCTGATTCTGACGTCCATATGACTGCGATAGGCCACTTGGTAAATCCCTTCACCACGCCATAAAATGCGATCAGTCCATGCTGGCGGACGCGCTTTTTCACTCGTATCAAACGTATCAGAGTTTAAGTCGTATTTGTAAGTCGGGTGGAATGTTATGTCACCTTCGGTGTAGTCCTACAATAAGACATAGGAAATGTCGATGAATCATCCTGTTTGGTCGTGTTATTGCGTGTTATCAACGTTTTAAATTGAAATGGTTGCGAAGTTAATCACCCGAGACAGGTTGAAAAATGCGAAGATTTCATTTTATTCATGAGATTAGCACAAAATGTACAACAAAGAGTCTCATTATAGTGTGATTGTTTCATAGTTGGTAAACGATTTATTTTTATGAAAAAATAAACAATGTGCAAAAGGATATGAAACCAACCAGCGGTAAGGAAATATCCTATACATGACACAAAATGTTAGCAAAAAGTCACAACAAACACAAGACTTGTTTATATACTCGTTGCGTCATTATATTGTTGCTTTTTGAATACCACTAATACCTATCAATTGTAATTGTTATTATTCTCTACGTCACTACGTAATCGTGTAGTGTGATAAAACTTCCATAACAGGACACAGAAGGGAAAATTAATAAATATTTGACTAAACAACAAAAATGTAAAATTTATCGTATTAAAAATATTTTAATAAAAGGATTTTTTACTAATATACAGGTGCGCCAGAACTCGCGTCCCAGAGAAAAATGCCATATAAGGTAATATACCAGGAACATGGAAAAAAATTAAAAAAAGATTATCTATAAAAACTTCGAAGTTACGAGAGTTTAAATTTTGCACTTTTGACTTTTATTTATTTCTGTTGGATAAATAATTTTCCAAGTTGTTTTTTGCTACAGGCTATTTGAAGAGGAAACAAGGATGCTGTATCCTAAATTGCAACTCTGATTGTTGTTTGTGGCTTTTATTGGTAAAATTTTTGTAACTTTACTAAATAATTGTAAAAAAAACATATACAAGATCATCAATATCATTAAATATACATAAAAAATGTCAATGTCAAAAAATAAATGTCAATTTTTTTTGACAGATAGCCTTTTTTCCACGTTCCTGGTATCTTATCTTACTTGATATTTTTCTCTGGGGCGCGAGTTCTGGCGCACCCTGTATTTAAACTTGTAATTTATTTTTGTTTTTATAAAATACCTTATTTTAATAATATAAATAATAATTCCTTTGAGATTTCTTGATTTCTTTGATTCAAACATCACATTTTTATAAAATAAAAAACCCTTTGCAAATATTGAATTCCTGACTAAATAGTTAATTTTATTAGAAGAGGTTGAAAGATGTTTAAAAGCTATAGTTATTAAAATTAGACAAATTGAGGCTCATTTCTGTATTAACAATAGAGAGACTAAACATAAGTATTTTTTTATCTAAAATTACACAACAGCTTTGCTCAGAAGAAGTAAAAGTATAATAAAATCAACGAGGTAAAAATAAAGCAATTTAACTTTTACAAAATACGTAATCACCGTATTTTTTTATTTATTTTTTATTTATTTATTTAATTTTTGTATTCTTAGTTGGTTACCTCTGTTTTTTGAATTTTTAAATGTAAAATTTAAATGTTAACTGTAACTGCCACATATAAATCAATAAAGATCTTTATTAGAATTACTTAAATGTTTTTCTTTTAAAAGTCATATAAATATTTGTAGTCATAGTCGCGGTCAATTCATAGTGGCCATGTAAGTTATTGCAAAGTTGGCAGCCTCTAGCCCGCGTGTGGGTTGGTAGCAGAAATAACTAAATTGTGTCAACAATTGTGACAGGCAGAATTGTCAGTTTTGATAGATACGTCCCTAAAAAAACAATTGGATTGGCTTAAAGTCGGATTTAACAATTCAATTTTACAAATTAACAAAGGGAAGTGGCCACTATGAATTGACCGACACTTTAGAAATTTTTACTTTCCAAATGTAAAATATGACTAAAAGACATTTTTTAAGAGTATATAAAGATAGAATGTTCTCAAGAGACACTATTTATAGTGTAAGAATTCACCAGTTAAACTTATTTTGACTATTTACAAATTCCCTTATTTATTTAATGTCAAAAACAAAACTGTTTAAACTATTCATACAAAAGTTAAAATTAATAGCTTAATTTTATAACGTCTAGTGTATTTTTTGTTACACTACTCGTATTAATTTCTAATCCCTTTCGATCATTCCTTTGAAAAAATATTTATTTTTTGTTTAAAAAACGGCAGGCGCTACAAATTTTTATTTATTTCAAAAATTAAAGAAATAAATTAAATGGCTTTTAATATAGTAGAAGCTGATAGTTTTAGAATTTTTGTAAATTTTATAGTTAATTCTGGGCTATATTCACTTTCTAATTTTAAATTAAAACTCATATTTTTTTCTTCAAAATTTGGTTTAATTTTAATAAAATTATGGTTAACTCGATTTTTTGTCGACACAACGCAAGTAGATTTTAACTTTTATTATTTTTTTCAACAATAATTTTTAGTAAAAGTAGAACATATTGCACATGCCTGTAACAAAAAAACTAATATTTTCCAAATTATAAAAAAATAGTTACTATTTAAAATTAGAAAGTTGAATATAGTCCAAAATTCACTATGACATTTAGAGAAATTCTAAAATTGTCAGCTTTTACTGTTCAAAATCCATTTAATTTAGCTTTTTAATTCTACAGCGTCTGCCGTTTTTTTAAAAATCACTCTGTACTTTAAAGAATTTTTGATTCTAAATACTCGTAGTAAATCTGTTATCCGATATTGCAACAATAAGATAACGAATCAATGTTTTTGTGTGCATAACTCATCCATTTTATAACATTATTAATTATAAAAAGTTAACAAAAACACATTTCATTTTGTGTTATTAAAAAAAAAGTTTTCTAGTGTTGCTTGTTACCTCATTATTGCAATACTCACCAGTAACACATTTCCTCGATCTTTTTGCTGATTTAACTGATCTGCTTTAAGTAAAGTCACAAATTCATTTCTCCCAAGAAGCGTTTTCACCTGCTGCGTATTTAAATCCGTAATTCTGTAATTAAGGTCTCCTAACCAATAAACTTGTCTAAAATCATGACAATCACAAAAAATTGACACAATTGACATTTGAAACATACTCGTGATCTTTGATAGATTGTGGTTGTTTTCTGAAATTAATCCTTGCATTTATATCTTTATAATCTTGATTTCTCCTTTCAAACTCTTCAATATGAGCTGCTAAATGACAATTAACAAAGCATAAAGAGGTGTTGTGAAGTTCCAATCTGACTGCGACACCTCCTTTATTACCCTGGAGCAGAAATGTTAACGCCCATCAAAAGTACAAATACAAACTTTACCATTTTGCCTAAAAGGCCGGTCCCCACAGTATCAACAGCGACGTTTTTAACAAATTGGTAATGTTTACTGTTTACTAAAACTATCAGCTGCATTCCTACGAGTCTAGTTACTGCCACTGATTTATATTTAGCTTTAGAATGTACACCATCCATCACAAACTTACTGAATGAATTTTCATTAATAAAATGCTTTGACAAAAAATTAGTGCTTACACCCATTCTGCTTCTCTAGGAGTGTCATTAAAAAGAAATGCTTCTTTACTTAAATCAATTTCTTGCAAACCTATAGCATAAAGGTCTGGTGGTTCCTCATCAAAACTGAGCCAAGGCCTCAAGGAAACTGAAGGTGGTTGTCCGTTTACATTCCATGTACCCACAAAAATGCTATTTTTTAAATAGCAAACAAGCTATTTGTTATAATAATTGCAAATTTACCTAAATTCTTGCTGTTGTGTATACTCAGGTTCCTTTAATTTAAGCTGATATCTTAGTATTGATTCTCTATTGGAAGCTGCTTGTCCTTGTGCCAACTGGTGTCGTAAAACTGGAATATCTGAAGACTGAGAATTTCCCATTAAATTTAAAAACCACAAATTAATCCAATAATACCTGATCTGACATTTCTGAGGTTTTTTGGTTGCTTGGATCTAAATTATCACATTTATATTTATCAAGCCAGTTGAAATTTGGTTTGTTTGATGATGAAACTAAAAAACATATTTTCAATTTCTGTTGTGTAACAAATGAAACATAAGTACCTTCTTTCGACCAAACAACTTCTGAAGCAAAATTTGAACTTTCCACTCCAATCTCAATTTTAAACTGAAGCTTGTTGTTCTTAAAATTAACAATAAAAATTATATGACTTTGACAATTTTCAATTGGTTCTGTATCTGCAAGAAAATGGTAAAAACGTTAACATATGATATTGTATTCTTACCACAGGAAAAACACGAATTTATTGGAATTGCTGTTTCAATGGTAAGGTCTGAAATACTGCTAGGTCTTGGCTTTTTTGTAATGAACACAAACAATGCATAAGATGAATTACATTCAACTAAAGCTAAAATTTTGTGTACTTCGTCCAAGGACTCGTTCACTGATGACACATTTAAATGAATCTAAACAGAAATTAAGGAAAACCATAATTAATAATTTAATTATGATATGATAATTTAAGGATACACATTTAACGACTTCAGTGGAAGAAAATTTTGCTTGTACTATATTGATTACATCCTGGTATACTACTAACATAATTGTTTGATCAAATGAAATCCATTGTGAGTGTTTTAATATAAATCCGTTATTAATTTATGGAGAAATCGGAAAAATTAATAATCTGATACAATGACATAACCTCTCTCCGCCCAGCCACGCACACCAATCGAGTGCTGGTACTAAACTAAAAAACACTAACTTTACATTCAAATTAATTGAATAAAACAATTTGAATATAGTATTTATTAACTTACCTTATTTAATTCATTCTTTTTAATTATTAATAAACATAGTTTTACACAAAAATAACATGTCAAATTTATTTTATTTCTAATTTCAAATTTCTTTTTTCATCGGTAATAAAAATCGAGTAGCTGTGCTGCCATTTCAAAAACAATTGTACTTGACATTCATTGTTAATTACCAGAAGATTTATTGTTACGTTTTTTGCTAATTACTCTTTAAAATGAGTGATTGGGTGCATTGTAATAGATGTTCCATGAAATATAACGCCCAGACAACATTTTTTTTGGTTGAATGCGGCCATATATTTTGTCAAAGATGCGTGGATAAGATAAGTATGTTGTGATAAAAACCAGTTGTTTTGGTTTAATTGGCGCTAATTTTTACAGAAATATCGAAAAAATGCTTAATATGTAATAAAAGTGGCAACGCTTTACCTCTGAACAAGGATGTGAACCAAAATGTGTTAGCATTTTTTTTGCCTTTTGAAGATATGCTAAAGAAATGTCTTGAAGTAAGCCATATGTCACACCTGTCTTTATACCAAACAAATTATAGAATTAAAAAAAATACCCTTGCGCTTCGTATTGTTGGTTGTCTATAAAAACTCTATATTTTGTTGTATTATTTCCAGGTTTATAAATTCCAACTCCAACATCGCAACACGCTTTACCAAAATCTTCTGGAAAAATATAATTACGCCAAGAAAGAATACATAACGTGCCATAATACTAACAACAAGCTAATTAAAGAAACTCAAATGCTTCGTTCAATGCTTCGAGTATGTGATCACAAGTAAAATTGAAAAAAAATGGTTGACTCTAAATTTCAGTCCGCAGGTAAAAATCCTCAAGGCTTTTTAACAAGTACTCCACTGTCGCAAAATTCTGATAATAATCTAACTTTCCAAAACACTTCTATAATGTCTTCTATTCCTCCTATTAAGACACCAACTCCGTTTAAAGATTATTCTATGATGAAGATGTTTCCTGGATATCCCAAAAGATCGGTAAGTTCTTTTCACACTATTAGTAACAAGTAAACAAAGTGAGCAGAAGATATGTCTTTTAAAACATTTGTATAATTTTTCGAACGTAGGTACTAGCTACTCTATAATCTTTTCCATTTAGCTTTTAAAAGAAACATGTTTCAAGACAAAAAGTGACTTTTTATATTATCCTTCTTGATTTTATTTTTTTAACTTTATAAAATAACTATTATTAATATCAATTCTCCAAATGGAGCAACCATTTGCACACAATAATTTCTCTTTTACGTTCAGTCTTGTGTCAAATAAATTTAGTAGTAAACAAGTAGTTTAGAGAGAGAAGTTCGTAAGGGATTGCCTTTTATATCTACACTATGCAGGAATCTGGTATTCATGTTGCGAAACATTTAGGTATGTACTATTCGCAGATGTGTTTCTTGTGAGTGAACTTTCTCAGATTGTGTACTCACTTATTATTGTAAACCTACTTGATGTTATTTGATAATGCGATTAATGGATTGTTTAATGTTTAATTATAGTTTATCAAATTACAGAAAAATTATTACAGGAAACTACATTGTATGTATTTTATGCAAGTCGAACAATTCTTTACACCCTCCAGGAAATTCACATTATTGGAAATCTATAAAATGAACATAATTACACTGTTATTGTTCCATTCGGAACATGGTATTATTGTATTAAAGTTTGATCCTTATTTGCGGCGAATGAAATTACCTTATATTTTCATGACTATCAAAGGTAGTAACATTTCTAATTTATTGGCGCATATGCGTACTATAAACTTTATTATTTAAACTTGTAATTATGATAAATATTCAATGTCAAACGTACTCGTTAAAATGGGGTCATACAAAGGCAATTATAAAAAATATTTCAGTGTCCTAGTAAATAAACTATCGGTGCTTTCCAGAACGCAAAACAACTTAAATATTTATCTACTTAGTACTAAATACAGTACTAAATATAAAATTTTCTTTACTTGTACGACAAGTTTTTCACTTATGCAAATGTGAAGATAAATCAAAATTTAATCTCGTGTAGGTTACTGGCACTTTCTCGATTTACAAAATATCGCAAACATTTCTCGATAAAGTATTACGGCTATTGTCGGCAAGTTCGATAATAAAATTTGGTGTCATTTGAGACAAAGTGTGCGTAAAATATTGGACCATTTCCAAAAAATATATGCGCTAATCTAACATCAATTGTGATTAATAGGACCATAAATAATCTAATATTGCCGCTTTCCATATATTCTTCCAATAATTTTTGTTAGTTGGGATCGATTTTCAGTCACCGTTTCGCCATAAACGTATTATTTTGCTTTTTTATGAAATGATTCATTTGTGAAGGTGTGAGAGATTTAGATGATGTTATTAAGGGCGAATCAGATTCACCCACATCTACCTTGAAGGCTTACATAACGCAAGAAGGTCGTCGATATGACAAATGACACAATAATTGCACGTTGACATCAACGGTTCGATACTTTATTTTTTCTTTTCGTTTGGATAATAATTAAGAATACATGTCTTGCGTAAAAAGTCATAACAATTAACGACATGTGAGTGACGCTATATATTCAAGGCAATCACGACAAAAAAACAAAGCGGTAATAATGCGGTATTACGTTGATGAGTGTACTAATAGGAAAGGAGACTTTCAGGTGTCGGTGTTTAGTCATTTGATCAACATCTTGCATACTGACTGCATTTATTTATTTTTCATTCAGCGGAAAGTTTGAGTCTGGATAATGACTGGATCTGTGGGTGAGTTACGAGTAAGGTTGAACTATACTGAATAAGAAAATAAATCGTAGTTCAAAAATTTTGAAAAAAACATCAGAATTCTTTGATGGCCTTAGCAGCAATCTATAGGGTTATTCATAAATATGAAGCAGTATTTGAACCTCAAAAATGACCTAACAAATGATGTTAATTTAATTTAATTTAAATAATAACTCGTGTCCTAAGACGTTAAAACATTTCAATTATTTTACTTATGATTTATGAATTTAGGATGAAAGCAATACATACAGGGACATTTTTTATTAGTATGCATAGCCCATTTCAAGCTTTTAGAAGGTACTAGATATTAAAATATGTAAAACTAAAATTTTGTGTCAAGTTTGTCAAGTGTCAGTTTTGAAACTTAAAGCGTAGCTTTAAAAAGTTAATACCACTTATGATACCCATGTCCACCGAAGTGAATCGGGAGATATATGTAGTCCCATCGCATAGCCCCACGATCGCCAGACTTGGCACCTAACGAATTTTTTTTTTGGGGGTATTTAAAAATAAAAATTCATACTAATGTTCCAATGCAAAATTTAGAAGAGCTGAAAGAACGTAGGTATTCGTACAGAATGTAATAATATACCCTGCCAAAAAAAAATTAGAGTAGGGGGTGATTAAAGTGCTTCAGATGGCAATCCTGAGTTTTGACATCAAATGTTAGCGGAAACTTTGACAAGTTTGCGTTTTATTCCTTTTGAGTGAAATAATGTGCACTTTAGAGCAGAAATTTTTATTGCTGTACAAGAGGAAAACGGTGGATGGTCATTTTCACTTTCAGTGTGTGTGGAAAATTACCAGCCCAGATTCCCAGCCAATGTGTTGCCAACAGTAGAATTTAATTAACGCCTACTCTAATTTATTTTTTATTTGATCGCACGGTAGATCCTGAATTTATCAGAAATGCAGTGGCGGGGTTTTTAAAATCGCTTGGGTTATTGTTTTGAACACTTGCTTTAATTATTAAATATTTTTCTTGTTTTGATGGGTTCTAATTAATATTTAATAATTTCATTTATATTATTTAATATTTAATTACTTAAATTAATATTTAATTACATTTACTTTGTTGTTTTTAAAAGTTTGTCTTTTATTTATCGATATTAAAACCTTTGGAATATTGGTTGCCTATGCCCAGACTAACGGCTAATCGTAATTGCCATACCTAGTAACATTGAAGTTGACCCGGTTTTTTTAAAAGTATACATAGGGCTATGTATACTAATAAAAAAATGTCCCTGTACATAAAATAAAACAACGTTACAGTTTTTACATTTTTTATTTAAAAACTATAATGAACATAACAAAATACCCTAATCGTAATTATTTAATTTTATGTCAAAAAGCTAGGTAACTTTAGCATTACCAGTATGTAGGGTACAGTTAGGGACATGGAATTTCCGACAGGACTTTTCTGTCAATACAAAAATTTGTGGTCAAAACTATTCTTTATTGTCAACATGACAAATTTAAAAGTCAGAATGACACGTAAATATCGATCTCTCTGTGACCACTATTAAAGTGAGGTTGACAAAGTAAAGCCTATTTTAGAGATGATGTCAGTAGATTGACAGTCTTGTCCGAAATTCCGTGTCCCTAACTGTACTCGTTTGACTTGAAATGCAAAGAAATTTTTTTTTTAAACTGAGTCTTGTAGATGAAAATATCAGATTATTTTTTGAATAAATTATGACTAAGGCTTGGAAATGATGTAAAACTCGTCGTAAAACCCTACGTACCTAATGATTTTTATAACTTAAGGCATCGATGAAAGTAATTAACTTGTGAGTAATGCTGCTGCTACTTTTTTTCGTATACAGGTGTTTCAAAACTCGCACCCCAAGTAAGATAAAAGACTAAGAACATGGAAAATGTTAAAAAATCGTATCTGTCAAATTTTGACATTTCTTGTATATGTTTATTCATAACTATGTAGTAAAGGTTCACGATTTTTGCCAATAAAAGCTACAAATAACGTTAAACATAGTTACAGTTTAGAATATAGCTTTTTAATATTTTTTCCATGTTGTACCTGGCATCTTAGTTTACATGGCATTTTTCTCTGGGGCGCGAGTTCTAAAACATCCCATATGTATTATCGTTTTTAATATTGCTTTAATACTTATTCAAACTTATATTTTTTATTCTGTTATACTATCGATTGATCAAGATAATTTGTAATCGAGTCATCTTTGGATCTGAAAACGTACCTACGTCTGTTTTTGAACTAACTGCAGGTGAAACGTTAAATAAAATGACAAGTTGAAGGGTAAAATGGTGAAAAGTTTCAAACACAACTTTATTATCAAAAGAATTTTCAGTAAAGATACAATCATAAACTTAATTATAAAATCATCATCTTTTTAATCTTGCTTCAGGTACATTAACTGCAGTTCGATAGCAGCAAGAGATTTTGGAACCTTTGATACATGGACTTCACGATGACGAATTGATGCTTGGCTATTTTCAACAAGCACATTCAGCTAGGACCACAATAACTACGTTATAATTTTTTTATAATAGACTTATTACACACAAAAAATATGTGACTTCCGAGATCCTGTGACCTAGTCCTTCAAACTTTTTTGCAGCTTTATTTAAAAAATTGTATTTACCGCACACCTCTTAATAACCTGTAAGGTTATTACCTGGTTAAGGTTAAGAATAACTGAAAAAATTAATAAAATTAATAATAATCCATATATATTGCGAAATGTGATAGATGGAGTTAGACAAAGGGCGCTTTTGTGCTTTCAAGAAAACGGAGCATTTATTGTAACCGCTATTTAACAATATACCTCAATGAATCTTTCTTTGTTGAAAATTTTCTTAATTTGGATAATAAAGTCATGTTTGAAACTTTTCACCAATTTACCTTTCGACTTGTCATTTTATTTGATTTTTCACCTGCAGTTAGTTCAAAAACAGACATACGTTTTCAGATCCAAAGATGACTCGATTACAAATTATCTTGATCGCTCGGCCTGCGCCTGTAAGATGCAATCAGTAATACATATTCCGATACGAACTCGATTACAAAATTTGAAAAATTGGATAATCTTCTCTAGTTTGTTCACCCTTTCAAAAATTACAACATTGTTAGTTAGTTAGTGATTAAGATAGATAAACTACAATCATATTCATGCCGTCTCTTGATAGAACAAGTGATAATTGTTTCTGAAAAACTGCAGTTTTATGACTATTAATGAAACAGTGATTAGTTTGACAACTACTGTCATGGGTTTCCAAAAATTAAATAATTAAATGTGCGTTTTCTGTATCCAATGTTCTGTGACTTTTGTATATCTGGGTGCGTACATTAGGCGCAAGCCTCGTAAAGTTATGTGAAACACCCTGTATAATGAACAAACTTAGCAACAGCGCTTTGTGTGTCAAAATCCGCTGTGATTACAACTTAAAAACTGTTGTGTCAATAATTTTTACTGTGGATTGCCCCCGGTATTCGTTTTTATCCTCTTTTTGCGTAGATACTTACTCTGGTGATTTAACGTCCATCTACAGTAAATAAACCATTAGAAACAAAATCGTAAAAGTTTCAGTGGTCTTTGCGGTATCAAAAAGTCGCGAAGGTTTTCGTCTGCTCTAAGTAATGTTTAGCAACAAAAGTTTTTATGTCGCTACGTTTTCTATTAACATTTTTTTATTATAAGCATCTTCGTATAGTTATCGTTTAATATTTACATACTAAATGGCACGAATATTATTGTCTTCCAACAATGAATAATTATGAGGATATATACGACACGTATTGTTGCTCCATGAAACATTTATGAAGACTTCCATTTTTAATAATACATAAGAGTTTCTAATAGTTTTGTCCTGTGTTTTCAAAATAATTATTCTAAAGACTTGGACACCATGCAAATTTTGGCGATTATCGACCGGAAGCGTTGTGTAATTTAAATAAATAAAAAGTAGCAAGTATTGTAATTAGGGTGTATTGGTACAATGAGGTGACATCGAATGGATTATTTTACAGGCGAATACATATTTGATAAGCCGCTTTCGGTAGGCCAGTGACTTCCTTCCAAGTCTAAAGCGGACATATTTGTTTGGATACCATTGTTATGTTAATCGAAACGTTCGCTATGACCCGTTGATTACAACACAAGCCGACGAATGTTCCTTCAATAGGAATATCTATCAATTTCTACTCCGAATAGAATTTTTTGATTGGTCTGAAATCTGCCACCAATACGAACTTTGCATACTAAAGTAGTTTGGTTCAGGATGTGCTAATTCAGAAATGGTCATCAAGGAAAATTTATCGATTTACTTATTGTTTGGTAGAAAGCTTGCGTAATTTTTTTAAGTAAATATATTACGCCGTTTGAATTTTAAATTGACAGACTTTCGTCGAGAGCTTCTCCATGTAAATATGAATGAGTTTGTGCAGAGAAATATAAAGTACACAGTAGGATTACCAACGTGTGGTAATAATTCCCGGTATTGTGATGACCTGTCTGGCAAAGTCCACGGACAACGTTTGCTTGGAAACTGAAACTAATTAATTTTATTTTGATATCCGGTGGCAAATCATTTAGTTAAAACTTGGATAAACCGGAATTTATAAATAATTTATACTTTCTACTAATTTAGAAAAGCTAAACAAAATGACACATCGTGTCATTCGTCGACGGTTTATTTTTGATTAGTTAGTTTTAACGCACATTATGCATAATGGATGTGCTTCTGCATTATGTGAAGCTTAATTCGAACTAAATAAAAACAAAAATGTATTATTTTTGACTTTTCCTTCTATTGTTAAATCGACCTTCGTTTCTGACCCTATTACGAAGTGGCATACTTTGAAAACCTATTATATTTTTGACTTAGTAATTAGCGTAACAAAAACAGAAAACTATATTTAGTCCGCCAGTCATTATACACCCAAAACGTGTTATTTTGAGCCATTTAAACAATTTTTACATACCATCTTGTCTAGTCACTAGTAGGAAACCGAAATGAAAGCACACCCGAAAAATAAAAAAATCTTTATTTATCAAAACAGAAAAATTTGTACTTGATTCAGACTATTGAGTGTGTTCTGTGACACCTTTCAGCAACCCTTCAGTGCTGGGTCTTCTCAAGGCCCCTCTCCAGCTCAACGAGTGCCAATGGGGTACTCCGGACTCCAGGAACGAGCCATGATACACCGAGGATCTCTTGACACCATGCATTCTCTAGAGGAACTTCGACGCAAATCTCAGATTGCACCTAACAACAGAAATTGAATTATAATAATTTAATTTAAATAATGCAAAACTGCATACATTTCAAGGTGAAGAAGGYTGTTTTTGTGTTAGTCATTTAATTTTATGTCGAAGTTGTAAAGTAATAAAATGATTGTTCATTGAAATGGAAATGCGTCTGTATTGTGCTGATGCATTTCCGATGTTTGAGTGTACAAAATATTGATAAAGATATTTGTTCTATGGATGTATGCACTTTTGCTTTGTTTTCTTATAGTAACTATCAGTAATTATGTATCGGTAATCATTTATGTTTAATAAATATATTTTTTGATATACTCGAATTTCTCGTTGTTTTAGTAAAGTCAGTAACAGTTAGTAGGAATATTCCAACACGGTGCTATAGCTTCGGAACCTCGTGTGTTGTGTGAAGGGTGCTTGAGATTAGGAAGTTAGATAGCTAGTGTTAGTCAGATGAGAACCACTTACTTCAGATGAAGACATTAACATTAGTAGACATAGACAGAAGCCACACGCGACGGCACTGCTGGACCGCGCCAGAAAGACACAGTAGTACTGGTAGACACTAGGTGGTATTACAACAGCACTAAAGAACAGCTGCGGTAAAATGCTACTACAGTTAACCTATCACCAACCAGACAGGTGATCAATAATTGTTATCAGGCAGGCACAAAAAAACCCTCATGTAAAAACACGAAGTTATGTATTTGTCTTCGTGTATGGTAGAAGAGTAATTGTATTGTTAGGGGAGACATTTAATTTCGTAGCGAAAGCAGTGTTAGCTTTATCATTTTAAGGGTCCTGTCTGTTTGGCTTGGGTGTGAGTGTAATAAGACCCTGCATAATATTAAAGACATTGGTAGGGTGTTTGGTCTAACTTTGGTTTAATCAACAATAGAAAATAAAGGTACAATTCATCAAATACATGCGCATATAAATAAATGATAATATAAAGTAGACTCAGAACTAAACGAAATAATCACTCAACATTTACATTTATGGCCTAGACGATAGAACTAAACAACAGAGGATGTCTACGCGCGTACGCCACGAAACACAACTTACAAAACCTATCGAACCAAACATGACAATAATAATAGAAACATAACACTTATTGTTGCCGAACATCCTCGTCATTCGTCAAATACATAATCATTTATCAATTTACAAGCAGCGGTGAACCGCCGCAGTTAACTAGTAAAAATATCTCACAGTTCGTATAAATAGCAGCTAGACGATATCCTGAGATGGGCACAAGACACTGGCACTGTGCTGGTGGTTGTACTTGTGTAAACGAGTACGACTGGCTGTCTCTTTGGCTAATAGGGCTTGGACGCGTCTTTGGCCCTCTTCAGCTGCACCTTGAGCCGCTTGGTGCCTATCTGGAACCCGTTCATCGCGGCGATGGCCTGCTGGGCCGACGTCGCGTTGTCGAACGACACGAAACCGAAACACTTCGACAAATTTGTTTGTTTGTCTATGAACACCTTTGCAGAGATCACAGGACCGAACGGCAGGAACGTCGACGCCAAGTCCGTATCGGTAAATTCCTGCGGCAGGTGGTAGATAAACAAATTGCAACCGTCCGGACCTGAAACAAACCCCACATACATTTTTACACACACACACAAACATCCACCCAAAACATGTAACATTTTTACATTGCAACCGCAAGAAAACCACCCTCCAAATGCGTTTAAATTGTGGTTAAATTTATTGTGCTTTGCAACAAAATAATGATAAATCTAACCACAATTTCAACAAAGCGCAAAACTTTAGTTGTTTAGATTTTAATTGAAGAAAGGTTCAAAAAGCCCAGTACAACAAAACGTGGAACGTTTATTCAGTTGAGAAAACCCATGTACTGAGTTTTATGTGTTAACCATTCCGAAGATGTTAACACTGGCTCGTTTCTCATCCTGTACTCAATTAGATTTACGACAGTCATGTTTATAAAACTTCACGCCGTTGTAAAACTTAACAATTTGCAATTAAACCTCATTTACGAGTCGAGGGGTCGAAAAACTGTAACAAAGATGATACACTTCAATTTTTCTAAATTCAAGCGCAAACTATCAATATTGTTGCATATTTAACCAAAATTATTAAAGGTAGCAAAATGAGGAAAATGTAAAAAGCATTGTTTATTGCACTGCTGATCGAACGCAACATCAAAATGCATATTTATTGTTTACACAAGATAGACACAACAAAAGCAGAAAATATTTTCTAGTATGCCAGATAGCGTTACAAAAATACTGAATTTTAAATCAAAAATTATGCATGCAGTAGTGTTTTGACATGTTTATACAATACATGCATGGGGGTTAGTTAATGTTTAAATGTTCTGTAAAATAACCCTTACCATAGTTGTGCTGAAAATGCGATTTTCTCTAATATTATTTCCGCAGTAATTTATGTTTCTCTGATATTTACACAGAACGTGATCATTAAAGAGGGTTTATTGTGTTTAACTTTTTAACTTCTTTAACAATATTTGACCAAGTTAAATCCACAGTGTTAAATTTTTTAATGGCGTTTTTATAAAGTCTTTAGGTACTTCAGCAGTGTGTTTATTTTATTTACTCTAGTCTAACTGCCACAATTTTTTTTAAGTTTTTTTTTAAGTTGCAAAGGTTTACAGCCTAAATAACAAAAAAATTGACTGTATTTAAAAGCACAAATTTTTCGTTAAGACACAGAATTTTCACAATTAAGAATTTCAATTCAACGTTTCCGGCTAAAATGGGTTTCATTACTGAAGTCACCCTTGGTGACACCATGAAAAATTCGATTTCGCCGGCCAGCACGTTCACCCGTTAAACGAGATTTCACAAGTTCGAATCCGGGTCGTGACGAGAATTTTTTCGTCAATATTTTCCCCTCGATTTCCTCTTTCGTCATTTTTAGTCGTTGTATTATTACAATTGCGTTGAAATAAATGATATAAAAATTGTAGACTTTATAATGGAAATTTTCGATTAAGTTTACGCGACCTTTGTTCACTTTATTACATCGATGGAATAAAGATTAAATGACAAACATACATTAGAGTTAGCACAAAAAGGTACACAAAAAAATATTGATTTTTGCGTTGAAATATGGTTATTGGAGTTAAAATGGAAGTGAATACAGCGGCAACAAGGAATTCGTTCTCCAGCTAACTTTATCAGCCGCTAAGTCATCCTTGTTTTAAAAATGTATAATAATTCTTGATATGTTTACAATCTAAAATAACTTTTACGCCATTAGTTCATGATAAAGTTTCGTTTGGTCAAACATTTGAAACATAAAATTATCATAATTTTAAGTTAAACTGGCGAATTGTATAATGGTTTGAGGTCACTATTTATTGTGTGCCTTCATTAAACGATGTTTCCTCTTTAATAATTACTGTACCTAAGTATCAGAATTTATCTTTTTCTATTTTGCGTTTAGGATTAGTATATTAAAGTTAAGTTGCAGAAGGTATGTATTCAAGCACAAATATGAAATTCCGAAACGAGCCGCGTTGCGGCGAGTTGAGGAACAAATGAGTGCTTGAAGAACCTTCTGCAACAAGTGCTTTATACTATTTTTTCTATTTTGCCGCTTTACATCATTTTATAAATTGAAAAACTAAAATTTTAATTGTTTTTTTTTCTAGAGAATTTTGAGACGGTTGGCGACTTTATGTGGAATAATTTTAGGCGGCTGTTAAAAAATAAAATTAATTCTTATTTTCACATTTGAAAATGAATTGTGAAGAAAGGAATAGACTTATTCTAACACCGAAATAGAAAAAAGTCTATTATAGCACCCAAATGAGTGCTTTAATAAGTCGTTGGTTTTAATTTAATTTTAGTGACGGACTTTCTTCACTATTAATTTTCAAGTGTGAAAATAAGAATTATTTCTATTTTTCACAGCCGCCTAAAATTATTCCACATAAATGTCGCCAACCGTCGCAAAATTCTCTAGAATTTTTTTTTTAATTTTCATCTTTTAATTTATTTATTAAGCGGAAAAATAGAAAAAATAGTATAAAGCACTTGTTGCAGAAGGTTCTCCAAGCACTCATTCGTTTCTCAATTCGCCGCTACGCGGCTRGTTTCAGAATTTCAAATTTATGCTTGAATTACAACTTGTATCGATCGATCAAGATAATTTGGAATCGAGTCATCTTTGAATCCAAAAACGTATGTCTGTGAAACGTCAAATAAAATGACAAGTCTTATTTTATTTTTACAGTAAAGTTTTAGTTAAAGAAGATTTTCCAGAATACATCATGGTTCAATTAAAATACTGCCACAGAATGTTATAATAAGTTAAAAGTAATTTTCTTTTTTTTTTCTATTATTTTGTTTTAACAAAGATTTAAATTTTAACCATGTTCTTTGTATGTAAATAGTAAATTATGTTATTAGGTGTAAAAGCGACACTATGTGGCGAAGCTAAACGTTTATTTTGCCGAACGCAGTGAGTCTAATATAATTCAGCTGAACCACATAAAATTGCTTTAGCCCGAATAACATATAATACTTTTTCCACAAACCCGCAAAATTCGTATGAAAGTTGTAACTTACGAAATATTGAAYCCTGTAATTGTTTTATTTGTTTCTCACTTGTAAACGTCAATTTTCATGCCACTATTTTCACTTTGAAAATTTCCCAAAAAAGTGACGTCTTTACTGGCTAATAAAGCTCATACGATTTTTTCAAATGTGAGAATATTTTTTTTTCAAGTGTCAGACTTTCTAAAACTTTTAATGTTTATAATAGTTATTTACAAGCGAGGTACAAATAAAACATTCAACGATACACACGAGGTAACAGGTTTTACTTGCTTAAGGAGATGACATCACCCTCCTATCGCCAGTAAAAACCCTTTTACCATGCTTGTAACCTTAAATATTAGGAGTATATTTTATAACTACAAACGAAAATAAAAATTGAACACCTAAAAGATTAAATTTTGTGGCACTTAACTACGCTTCACTATTTTTACTTAATGTGCTGTCATGGAAAATTTAATTTTGTCTAAAAAACACAAAGAAATAGAGTCAGAGGTAGAATTTTTTAAACATTTTTGCATGTTCTTGGTATCTTACCATTTTTCTCTGGGGCGCGAGTTCTGGCGCATTCTGTATAGTGTCCCGTTTTTATTGTTACAATTTGAAACAGGTGTTTCTAGTTTCCTAAAAACATGTATCAACAATACTAAGTAGGGGAGCTACAACGTCTGAAAAGGGTGCGTTTTTAATGGGTTTCAGAAACAATTTTAGATAAAATTACAAAACCTATATACAGCAAAACAAATTCAAAGATAAAATGTCAAAATTTTTAATCAAGGGCGTCGTAAACTAAAACTTAACCCCTAACTATTTTGGCTGTAGTTTTCAGCAACAAAATCTTAAATTACATAGTTTTTCACGAAAGAGGTCTCTTTTTTCGATACAATTTACCGTTTTTGAGTAAAATCAGTTTAAAATTTATATTAGACTATAAACAGCATAAAAATTTCAAATTAAGTTTGTTTTACTCTATGCTCCTCTAGTTTAGAACGCCTCTGATTAAAAATTTCGATATTTGATCTTTGAATTCGTTTAGGTGTATAAAGGTTACCAGTTGTATCAAATTTTATAATTTTATTTACGAGTATTCTGAAATATCGGGAAAACCCAATAAAAAATGCCTCCCTTTGAGGATGTGTAGCTCAGTTCCATGGTATTTTTCAATACCTACATACTTATAAGAAACTTTTGTCTTAAAATTAAATTTTCTATCAGCTGTTGAAATTTGTAGTAATAAAAACGGAACAGCCCTGTATATAAATTCCATGTTTACCTTGATAGCTTGATAGAAAAATAATTCGTCTTACCTTCTATTTGTTTTCCTGCTGCCGCAATGGCAGCGGCGTTGAGCGTAGCATTCGTGATAAGTGATCCATACGTGGACAAGTCCGACGTGGACATGCCCGTCTGTAGTCCGGTGGTCAAAGTTCTTTCAACACCCGCACCTTTTCCTAACAGATTAGCTACACACAAAGGGGTGGCGGTCGGTTGCGACATCGCCGCCAACGTGACCAAATTTTGCACCCCTAAAGGCGCCAACAGGTTTTCGGCGCCGGTCAAAAGCTGCTGCGGCAGGAGCGCCGATCCGCCACTCATCGCCTGCAACAGTTGCAAGGACGTCGCGTCGTTCGACAGAACTGGACTGAACTGTTGCGGAGGCGTCTGCAGCTGGGGAGCCGCCAACGCGTTCCACACGTTCGCCTGTATTTGCTGCTGCCGTTTCAGTTCTTTTTCTTTTTGCGTGTCGGCGAATTTCACGACTAGAGGAGCCGAACACCCTTCCATCGTTTGCGACTGGTGGAGGGCTTTTATGGCACTAAGAGCTGACTGTTTGCTGGCGAACGTGACGAACGCACACCCTTTCGAGTTGCCGGCCGTATCCCGCAGCACGGTGCACTCCTCGATGGTGCCGTAGCCGTTGAAGATGGTCCGGACATCGTTTTCGCACAGCTTCTTGCTGAGCATGCCCACGAACAGTTTTCTTTCTGAAATTAAAACAACAATTAACACAGAAATAGAGAAGGAATCCCACAATTTTAACTATTATTATCGATAAAGTTTCACATTCATCACATACTTTTACGTTCTGTTCTCCCAGAGGGAATTGTAGGGCAATTCTGACTGGTTAACTGCTGATTCTAATAGTACCTGTATCTACATATTTGCAGAAAATCATTTTTTATGGTGATTTTTGAAAACTGTAATTTTTTCTATTATTTGAGATGGGTTAATAAATATTAATACTGCGCTTTATTCTTATTTGTAGAGAGTTATTTGTGGTTAAAATAATGCCACACATTTTTGAATAAACGACTCTTGTAAAAGATAAAAAAAAATCGATTTAAGTTTTAGTTTTCTGGGGTTTAGTCCTGCTTGGTTAAGATTCATTTTTAACATAATTTTAGTTTTGGAAAATCAAGTATGCATTTTTTTTAAACTAGTTTTCTGTAAAATAAAGTGCCTTTTATGTAACAAAACGACAAAAAGTTATTAGTTGACCGATGATTATGAAATAATTCAAAGATGTTTTTTTAGATGTTGAATCTAAACAACATTTGTTAATAACTTTTTGTCGTATTTGTGACACAAAAGCCATTTTAATCTACAGAAAAATAGATACTTGATTTTTCAAAACTAAAATTATGTTAGAAATTAGTCTTTAACCAAGCAGAGCTGAACTCACAAAAAATTAAAATTTAAATGATTTCTTTTATCTTCCAAGAGTCGTGTCCGGGGACACACTGTATGTTACAAAAATATTAGAATGCATAATTGCAATAATTTTTGTTTTTGTAAAGATAAGAAAACTATTTTAAAATAAATAATTCATTGATAGAAACATATAAATTTTAAAAAACGATAAATACAAAATACGAAAGAAAATTCCTTGTCGATAAGAAAATATCGAAATTGCAAAACAACCATACATATAGTGTAAATACTGTATACTCATAACTTCTTAAATATTAAAAAAGTCACAACGTGTGTTTATTAAAAAAAACTCAAAAGTGCTTTGACAAATTTGATTAATTTATTTATCCATTTGTCAAGATGACATAATAATTAAAACTCATACATATACGACGAGATACGTTTTCCTACTGCAATTTTTTAATGAACACCTTATAAGTAAAAACTTACATACACACTATTATAAAAAAAATATTTAGTAATTTGAGGAAGGAGAATAAGTTTGTGTACACACAACCAAATCATAGTCACGACAACAAATTTATTATTTTAATATTTGCAATCCGTAAATGTCCGTAAATTTGGAAAAAAATTCAAGAAATCAATATTGGAAACCAATTCGTTGGAAGTGATTAAACAAAAGATCTTCGAATTTTGATAAAAACTAAACTTAAAGCAAGTCAAATGATGAGTGTGAAAACAAGTGAAGTGACTTCGCTTTTATTTTCGTGGATACGATTTTCTTATTTGTTACAACAATGAAACTTTATCTTAATAAATAAATAATTCCAATGACCCTCAAACCTTGTACTCGTACCAATGCTTTGGAGTTAAATAACATTGTTAATAATAATAATAATAATAATTCTGAGAGTTTCTTTTCGGTTACTCTATTTCTGTAGCAGGTTGATTTTCAATAAGACTGTAGATACTCTGTATCATCGATTAAAGTGGCACTTTAATACTTATTATTTTCTATTATTCTCAAGATTATTCTATTACTTTCTACTTATTAAAATCACTGTTTTCCATTGAGTACACAAAAAYTGTGTAACAACATTGTTTTTGGTATTATTTTTTTCTGTGTGGAATCGGTATATATTACAATTTTACCTTTCTTTTTCGATTATAGACGTATTAAATGTGTTACAAAATTTCGTATCCACTAATACTTCAAAGACAAATTAAACATCAAAAACATTATTTTTACGAGTTGGTGACCACAATAACAGTAATCCAATACCAAGGTTTTAAAAACACATCTTTCGAAGCGGTTAAATCTAACGAATTTGAAAAAGTGCTCCTACATTCAAGTTTTAAACAACCGCCAAGACCTCTGAACGATTTGTTGCGTGCTCTCGAAAACTGTCAAATAAAATAACCATTTCCATTTGAAACTCCCCCGCAAAATCAACAATATCTAAAAACGTCGAATTTACAATTTAAAAGCTTTCCTGTCGTAATTAACGTCGAGAAAGCTTGCCATAGAAAAAATACCACCAGTTTATTTTTAGATAATCTTTAAGTCAATAGCGCAACGGCCGGAAAAACGGATTGCCATTAAGTTGCCATTTTTCAAGCGACACTTCCAATGACGTCATTTTCAAAACTATTTGAAGCTTTCGTTGACAAACATTATTTACGATAACCTGCATATTTCCGTTTTGCTCGTATTGTTTTCTATTTTTACAAACTATACAGGCCGAGTCGTAAAGCTTCGACGCTTCCTTCAACGTTGGTAAAAAACACCTGTACCATATTTGCGCCAAATATTCGGATTTTTAACAGTTTTATTGAGAAACGTTTGGTCGAAATAGATCGCCTATAAATGGGCACGCCTAGAATATTTTCCGGAAATTTTGTTACAAGGGTTCGACTCTTAATTGCATTAAAAAATGTTTCATCACTTGGACAATCCTTTATTCCTCTTAGAAACGTCCTAGTTAGTTTAGTGAAAGTTATTTATAAGGTAGTGCAAGTTACGAAGTAAACAATTGAAATGTTCACATTTCCGCTACAAAAATCCAAGTATTTATTGGTGTTTGGTTAGAATCTCTCAGAAATATCTTTGCTCGAAATAACTGTAGTCGCACGAATAATAAAATTATACAATTTAATCGGAGTTTCACGCAAAAAAAGGAAGAGAATTCGACGACTCATAAGTACAAATACAACCAAGTCATCGAACAAACACAATTATTTTTTAATTTCCTTTTACCGAAATAATCCACCATCACACACAAATAAACCCCGAAGGTGTCCTCGTCAAGAAAATTTCAGCCTTATTTCCCTTGGGATCGTAGCACAACATCACCTGTCGCATAAAAAAGGAAATCCACCCGATATGTAATTTGTTGACATTTTTTAATTAAATTCCCTAAATCGATTACAAGTCAAATTTTCCGTGTTTCTTATTGTTTCCGATGAAATTGATGCGWTATAATAAACTCGTGGTGTATTTTAAACCGCCGGTAAACAGGGATCGCGAAAATCTCYGATTTCTTTTGCTCAAAGCCAATATTTTCCGACATCATAAAAATACAAAATTATCCCCGAGAAACTAAAACTAATATGGCGAAATCGGAAGTTTCCAATCTAGTCACGTTACTTATCGATTTCCCTCCTATCTTACAATTGCATTATGAGACGAGTAAATATCTCGCTGATCAAAAACAAACCGATTATTTCATGAAAAAGAGAATGGATTCAAGCACACACGTGTGGAAGAGTATTCTGCTTTTGTAGACGGTAAAGTGCGTGACATGTGGCTGTGGCAGGATGTTAATATTTAACAACAGAATTTTAGGATCAGGAAACATAAGTCGGTGATTTAGTCTTATGTATAAACAGAAGAACCGACAAGTATACAAAAGTTAACAATTTGTTATTAATACTTGGAAAATATGTAAATCTCAAATTCTCAAATGCTCTCCGTTTTTGGTAAGAAATACAAATTAAAAAGATATAAATAAAAAAAAGAAATGACGAATTTTTATTAACTAACATTTAAAACTTATTTGATCCTGATTCTATTTTCTTTTTTTTTAATTACTAAAAACTTTATATACTTACGTAAAAATTTATAAAGTAGCCTAATTTTTTAATGTTTATAGTGCCGCATCACAAAAATAAAATAATAACTTCAGGTTTTTCACCCGGAGGCAAAATAGGGCCTATTCATAGAGGGAAAATTGCGCAAAAACACATCCAGTGTTTGATTTAAATCGCGTCGAACATCTTTAGCACAGCCACAAGAAGTACAAACAGTAAAATGTGTGTCAAACCGGCACCGAGTATTTAACACTTTCGTTTTAACGACGTGTATTATGACTCAAAGTGCGTTTTATTAACGATTTACTTATCCTCAATGTCCGTTAACGCTGTTTATATTAAACACATTGGCAGTGATAATAAAAAAATAAATAAATATTTTGATGTTTTTACAATGGCAGACAGACGTTAAAAGCTGCGCTCATTCATAAATAATATTCCGGGTTTGTTCTACCAAAATAGACCGAGTGTATCGCTAGAGATAATTAAGTCTTAACACCTTGCACTTAGAGATATAATTGGACACTCAAGATCATTATTTTACTATGGAATTATGGCACGTTGAACGCCGATTCGAAGCAATGCCAAACGCATTCGCAGCGAAATTGTTTGATCTTTTCCAGATAGAAACTCGATTTTCGGCGACGTAAATTCGAGAGTAAAACGATTCACCTCGTAGTTATGTCGCAGGAAGATGGAAAACAACACGCGTTTGTCGAACGGATTGACATACCTTACCGTTCACGTGGTGTTTGAATTTTTCAAGGACGCCATTACATCACTATATGCATAATAAATAAACGCAGTTCTGCAAATTGATATTTCTATTTATTAAAAACGCTATAAATGGAAGATTTTTTCAACACTTCTGATATTTTCCTTTTAAAGCACTTGGGTTACATTGACTTTTTGTGATAAAAAAGTCAATATAAATGACACACAAGGTATATTTCTGTAATTAATCAGTCATAAATGATATTTTTAAAATTTAAAAATATCAATGGGATGAACAAACTTTATCAGTGAGCTAAATCAATATCGTAATTAGTTTAGCAGGAAATGGCGTTTAAAGTGCTGAGTGACCCAACACTGTTTGGATGGAATAGTATGCTACATTATTAAGAATTTTGAAGCCCAACTGCAACAAAGGACAGTTTTAATTGTTTTAATTAGTTACGTATTAGACTGAAAAATTCAATCTCACAATTTTATTAGTGATATTAGCCGGAAAATAAAAGGCGAA